ATCGGAACAACTATGGAGTGAAAGATGCATGAAATATATTAAAGCAGAAGGTGTCAAAGCCAACACCCATCTTGTTATAAGGTTCGACCGACATAACTACAACTTCATTGTCAAAGAGATAATCGACCATAATGAGGGGTTTCTATGACAAGAGTATAAGGTTATACTACCATCTTATTGGTGCGATTATGGAAAGTTTCAAGCCTTTTGTATGCCTTGCTCTCATGTCATTGCGGCATGTACGTATACTGATCAAGATGCATTACTACTTCTATCTCCCATTTACAAGTCTGAAACCTTCCTCAGCGTATACAACAATGGCTTTCCAATAGTAGTGAAACCTGATTATTGGTCTGCATACAAAGGGGAAATAGTGTGGCACAATGATTAAATGCAAAGGAATAAAAAAGGTCGTCCCAAAAGCAAGTATATCACAACTGAAATTGACTCCCTTGATAAGCTAGAAAGAAATTGTGGTTTATGTCGTCAGGTAGGACACAATCGAAAAAATTATCCCACTTGTGCTACAAGCTCGACAACATAAAAATTGTATGCAAGCTATCTGCACTTTTTAAAGATCTAAACGTAACTTTTTTCATGAAGAGCATTTATTACAACAATCCATAAACAAACAACAAATAAAAACACATCACCACCATTACGATAAAATACAACATGTAAATAAAACATCAACAACACGATAAAACATCTAAGAAATTACAACCATCAAACCAATTTTATTTGAGCCATGCATCATAACCATTACGTCTCCGTTTATTTTGACTTCCTCTAACCAAGATTGAGGTCTTCCAGTTGCAAGTGAGGTGATTGTTCTTCTTCTCAGGATCCTTCTAATTTGTTCTCTAGCTTCGTTGTCTCCTTGTAACCATCGCATCAACTCTCTCTTCAAACGCTTCATGGAGTGAATGTGCCAAAATTTCATTTTCATCGGAGGTTTGTGGCTGAGAAAATAACATACCCATCTCTGATGAAAATCACGGGAGATGTCATGATGCAAAGAACAGAGAGAAAATGAGAAGAGAATGTGAGAAAGTGTGAAGAATGATGGAGAAATGAGTGTTTTATTTATAGAAAACACAATTTCACTTGGTAGCCATCTCAGATGGGGCCACCTCCCCATATTATAGTGCATGCGTCATCTCACATGGTTAAAAGAAAGTGCATGCGCCAAGTGAGATGAAGTCTAAGGAAAAAAGGTGAATGCATGCGCCAAGTGAGATGGCGCCTCTATTGATGTATATTCTGAAACATGATTATTTGCGTAATTTTCTCTGAAACATGGTAATTTGTGTATTTTTTAATACCTGATTATTGCTAAAAAAATTCTCTGTTTCACTTCTAAAAGACAATTTATTTTAATGATATTTTACTTTTAAAAATAATTCATTTTAATTATAGATTGATTTAAAATTTAAATAAAAATATAACATTTATTTTTTATGTATATTATTGATTGATTAAAACATATTTGATCAATTATGTTATATATTTACTTTAACCTCTGTTTAACCTTAGAGCTTATAGTTATAAACTCATAAAAACTAAAAAATATATTTGATAAGAATCTTTTAATCACGAACTTATATTTTATTTTTCTAATTTATAATTTAATTTTCCAAAAACTTTTAAATAGCATTTTGTTATTATTAGTTTTTTTTTTAATTTTATTTTTATTATTTTAATTAAAATTGACTTTTATCTATTATAATTTATTTTAATTTAAAATAAAACAATTATTATTAAATATTATTTATGTCATCTTACATTTAACAATTTGTTGGACAATTAATTTTATTAAATACTTTAATTAATTTATCAGTTATAAACTATCAATCGTCAATCATTAATTTTAATATATCAATTTATTAATCATTAACTACAAATTTTATTATTATTTTTGGAAGAAAACCTAAGTGAATAGTCAAAAATCAAATCCCAATGGAAAATAACTTTTATCTGTTTTGGGTAAATATACTATATCCTTTTGCAGTTAAAATTGGTGTTATTGCTCATACAAAGAGATTATAATGATGGCGATATTATATATGTATGCTAGGGAATGTTTTCTTTTTCAAAAAAAATAAATTTGAATTTGAAAACAATCAGATTTTAAAACCTTAAATAAATATAAAATCAATTATTAAGAAAAACGTATCTTTGATTTTATACTACTAACATTTTTTATTTGTATAATTGTAATACAGATTACTAGATTGTTAGTCATATGTTTTATCTATGTACTATATAATACATAGTTTATAGTTTGTCACTCATATATTTCATGTAATGGTTCTTAATACATAGTTTATAGTTTATTAGTAATATATTTCATCTACGAAGTATTTAGGGATGTCCTTGAGATTTTAAGTGTCATGTTGAAATTATGAATTTGATATCCTTTTTCTTAATTCATAACATTTTATTAGATTTATAAGTCATATAAATATAAATATATAATTGTAAATAAAATGAACAAAATATATTAATATTGAAAAGTTTACACCAAATAAAATTACATTAGCATTTTAATTCTCACACTAGTTGCAACCTCCAACTATTAATCTTTTGAATTATTACACTTTTAACTTCATTACTTATCTATTAATCAATTCATTTTTGATTCTAGAATTAATTGTTATTCTCTGTGCAATTAAGGTGCCTTTGCATAACAAAATTCCATTCAACATTCATGTCAACAAGAAAAAAAGTTCCCCATTATTTTGTACATTGATTTTATTTGTTCCACGAAAAGCTAAATTTTATCTAAAAAATTATATATCAATAGAAATTATTCTAACAAAAACATTCTTTCAATGTTCTTTTTTTTTCTTCTTATAAGTTTTTGAAGATGTTTATTAATTGTTATGTTTTTTTAATCTAATTTGTAAGTAACTATTCACTTATAAAAGTCATATATGCACGACTTGATTCATATTCGTTAAGTCTAAGGTTAAATTTTTATTAGATTTAAGCTTAATATATATATATATATATATGTTTGTCAAAATAAATTATCTAAAAATATGTATATATAGTGAAAAAAAAAATTAGTGACCCTAAAAAACTCGGATCCTGTGCCACCGTTCTTTCGGAACATATTCTGGAACCTCTGATAGTACTAGTAGTACTACTTTAAAATTTTAATTTAAGAACTTTTGTCTTTTAGATAGTTTTTTAATTTATCATGTCAGCTTACTTAAGAACATGTAAATCCATACATGTGATTGTGTCAGCTTTAACTTGTCATAACTTCTTAAACATGCAAATTCTACACACTATTTAAGAGTTTCTTGTGACACTATTTTGTCTTAAAGTCTGGATTCATATTTATTATTATTTATGTTGGTAATTAAGAGAACTTAGTAAGAGAAAGTTGATACAACTCATTACAGTAATCAAAACATGAGACATGATTCATGATGAATCATAGTCTATCCCCTAGCCCAAAATTCATAAACATAAGATAATGTTTCCCCAAATGCTGAGCACTTACCAACATAACACATGTGAATTTTACAGAATAAGACTATTATTGTCGATGTATTACTTTATTTCATATGACTGATAAAATAACAACTTAAAATTTATAAAATTAATGTAGCTTAATATGAAATTATATGTTTAACTTTTTTTTTTTATATATATTTCAAATAAATTCACAATAAAGACTTGAACAATACAGATAAATTATATATTAATTAAAATAACTTATTTTGATAAGTTATAAATTGATAAAAATAAACTATATCCATATAACAAAATTATAGTTACTAAACAGATATTTTAAACATATAAATATATAAATTATAAGAAATAAACTATAAATTTAAAAAATAATTTTGTCAAACAAATTCTTAATATTAAAAAAGAAAATCATAAAATATATTTGTCTATCACGAACCACTTTAAAATGTCAATTATATTTGGGTTTCTCTTGAAATTTATTATCACTCAAAAAAAAAGTTTTATCAATATTTTTTATTTTAAATAATTGTTCTCTTTATACTATCAATATAATATTTAATTTTATTTATTATATTTATTCAACTATTATAATAATTATAACTAATAAAAATATTTTAATAATGATATTGATTTATCATTAAAACTAATGAATATTATTATCTTCTTAAAAACTGCATATATTTTAATTAAAATATCTTATGAGAGGTATATAATTGTTTATTTTATTTGAATCTCTACCAATTGTAGTACTGAGAATGGAAAGTTGGTTAGTGATATGTTTCATCTGTGCTTTTATTTGTACTTCTTAAAACATTTGATAAAAAAAAAAAGGTTAAACTTCAAACCTTTATAAAAATTTATTGATAATAAAATTTGACACTTTAATATTAAACCAAAAATGCTGCTTTAGAGATGTACTTAATCTTCTTTTTTGACTCATTAATATAGGAACATTATCATGTCATTTTATTATGAACATGCAAGCCATGTATGTGATTGTGTCAGTTTTGTCACATTAATTTCTTAACATGTAAAACTCTATCCACTATATCCTCGAGATATATTTATAAGCAATAAAAAAAATTAAATTTATTGAATAAATGATATATTTAGTCATTATTATATATCAGATATATCAATTATTTAATTAATTTAAAAAAACTTTTTATTATTTATAAATATGTTTAGAGAATGTATTTTTTTAAAGTTCCTTATAACATTATTTTATCTAAAATTCTACATTCATATTCATTGTTATTTATGTCGTAAATTTCTAAAAGATTACAATTACCAAAACACGGGTCATATTCATGATGTATACAATACTCTATACTCTCACAAAATCCATAAACATAGGATAAGGTTTCTCCCTACTACCAAACATAGCAAAGGTCAAGGTTTCTCCCTAGCTAGGATAAGGCTTCTTATTAGTTGCCTATAAATAACTAAGTTCACTTCCACTCCAATACATATTTCACAACAAAATAATTTTTCCACAAACATAACTGAAATATATGGCACACATAGTTGTTCTATCTCTCCTCTCTTTTCTCTTGCTCTTGTTAATGGTAAGATATTAAATTTACATGCATGTTTCTATCTTTTACAGTTATATTTTTCATCATTTTGTTATCATAATAATTTATCATTTTCAATTTTATTTGCAATTGTACATACACGTTAACTTTAATAAATTTCAACATGTTCATTATTTATCATTTCCATCTTTATTTGCAATTGTAGATCTATGTAGAATTCAATGCACGCTTGTAAAATCCTTCTCTTCGGTTGTTTTTCTTGCATTCGACACACTGAGAATCGAGTTGTTCTATACTATATAACAAAATTATGTTGTTTTTTTGCTTTAATAAAATTTAAAATAATATATTTCCTATTTTTTATGTTTCAAATTATGTATCTATTTATATAAACATAATGAATATTTCTTTCATATAACAAAAAAATTTGTCTCATATCAGATTTGTGTATTTTTATTCATATATACCATCAAAAATATATAATTAATTTATCACTCGTTAATATCCTTTAATTTAATTGTATCGTAGAATGGTCATGGAAGCTTTGCAAGAGAAATGAACCAAGTTGATCAGCCTTATCTTGATGGTTGGCTCAAAAACACACCACTGAAGAACCAAAAACTCTCCTCTGACTCCAACCAAGTTTATCTTGATGGATGGTTGAAAGATACCAGAGGCAAGAAAGTAAAAGCCAACCCTAACTCGAACCAAATTTACCTTGATGGATGGTTGAAAGATATCCGAGCTGAGAAAGCAAAAGGCAACCATGACTCCAACCAAGTTTACCTCGATGGGTGGTTGAAAGATACCAGAGTCGAAAAAGAAAAAGCCAACTCTGACTCCAACCAAGTTTACCTAGATGGATGGTTGAAAGATACCAGAGTCGAGAAAGCTAAAGTCAACCCTGAGTCCAACCAAGTTTACCTAGATGGATGGTTGAAAGATAACAGAGACGAGAAAGCCAATGTCAATCCTGACTCCAACCAAGTTTACCTTGATGGATGGTTGAAAGATGCCCGAACTGAAAAAGAAAAATCTACCCCTGTCAACCGAGTATACCTTGATGGATGGTTGAAAGATGCGAGACCTGAGAAAGAAAAATCCACCCCTGACTCTAACCAAGTTTACCTTGATGGATGGTTGAAAGATCCGCAGAATGAGAAAATAGAAACCAACACTAAATCTAACCATGTTTACCTTGATGGATGGTTGAAAGATAACCGAGATGAAAATGCAAAAGCCAGCGCTGACTCCAACCAAGTTTATCTTGACGGATGGTTGAAAGATACTCGGGATTTAACAGAAAAATTGACCCTTGACTCCAACCAAGTTTACCTTGATGGATGGTTGAAAGATACACGTGATGAGAAAGAAAACTCCTACCCTAACTCCAATCAAGTTTACCTTGATGGCTGGTTGAAAGATAGTCATGTTGAGAATTCAAAATCTATACAGAACTCCAAGCAAGCTTACCTTGATGGTTGGTTGAAAGACTCACATGCAGAGAACCACATGAAAATTGGACAAGATTTTGTGGAATCAAACGAAAAGCTATCTTCGAAAGTTGACCATACAGAAGCATTCAAGGTAGCTTTTTTCGGTATAGAAGATCTTTATGTAGGAAGTGTAATGACCTTGCAATTTCCTATTCGAGAATATGCTAAGTTCTTGCCAAAAAAAGTTGCCGATGACATTCCTGTTTCCAAATCACAAATTCCAAGCCTTCTTGACCTATTCTCACTCACAAAAGATTCTCCTCAAGGTGAAGACATGATAGACATAATTAATCAATGTGAGTTTCCACCCAATAAAGGGGAGACCAAGGCATGTCCTACTTCTTTAGAGTCCATGCTTGAATTTGTTCATAGTGTTATTGGTGCCGAGACTAAATATAACATTCACTCGACTAGCTATCCCACAACATCTGGTGCACGTTTGCAGAACTACACCGTTTTGGATATCTCAAATGATATATATGCTCCTAAATGGGTGGCATGTCACCCTAGGCCTTACCCATACGCTCTTTACTATTGCCACTACCTAGACATAGGGAGTAAGATCTTCAAAGTTCTTCTAAAGGGTGAAGATGGTGACATAATGAATGCTTTGGGAATTTGCCACCTAGACACATCTGACATGAATCCTAGTCATTTTATATTTGACCTACTTGGAATGAAGCCTGGGGATGCTCCACTGTGCCATTTCTTCCCTGTTAAGCACGTTCTATGGGTGCCAAGCCCACCCGTTGTCACCAAGTGAACAAAAGAAAACTACTAATTCATATCTTTGTTAGTCGACATATGTGTCTTTTCCAAACCTTTACATGTTATTCCTAAGCTTTTAATTTATGTAATTTATGTGTATTGTAAGGTCTGGTTTGTGCACTAAATAAGGTCTTGTTTCTAGGAATTAGGTAATTATGTTTTAAAATAAATCTCAATTTAATATGTTAAAGATTGAGTTGCCGTCATTTTAGTCTAGTCTTTCAAAATTAGGTAATTGTTTGTTAGAACAATTATCCTATTGTTATTATGTGTGTTATCCTCTATATTATAATTTTGTTTGTATTAGTAAATATGAGAAGTTGCCCCAATTCTACTATGTAAAGAATTAATTTATATGACTGTTAAATCATGAGAATGACAGTAAAATAATTATTTCTATATAGACAGTTTATTGAAAGACCAAAGTTATATCATATTCTATTGAGTTAAATTGAAGCCAACTTAATTAATGTATATATTTAGTTGAACAATCAAGGTAGTCATATATTGTATTCTTTTCTGTCATAATGTGGGACTAAAATGAGAGCCTAAATGTTCAAATATATCAATGAAAGCATGAAGCTCTATTGTGAAGAGTTTCAAGAACCTTATACTTGATAGGTTGAATGAAAATCACACTCAAACGATTTTAATAAACCAAACAAAACATATAAATATTTCTCTTGGTTTCAAAAAACCATTAAATAAACAAAATTTAACCAAATCTGAAGATAGCATACACTGTTTGTCGGTGTATTATATTCCTCGGCTACTAAACACTCTGATCCAATATTCTTTTGCTTCACAGACTCCACATACCCCTCGGCTTGATCACATGCTACTCTAAACAGTTGCTGCTGCAGCAACAAAATCTTGGTTTTTATTACAATCTCTATCTGTCTTTTTTTTCTTCTTCTTGTCTCGTGTAGAGTGTAGACTTAAGAAAACTAATTCCTACCCAATGTACTTTAATATAAGTCTTCATCTTAAATATTGCAACGTTAGTGACTTTTAGGACTTTAATGATACTATAAATATTTTGTGAACACTAATTAATTTAATAATCAAATATAACTTTGTTACATCAAAGTAATTTTTGTTATAATTGTTAGATAAATATTATTCATAAACTCTTTTAACCAAAAATAGAATATACTAATTAAAGTATAGAGTAAATATAATATACTAACTAAACAAATTATACGTATAATAAATGTTTGCCACTAGAAATAAATTAAATTTATTATTCTTTAATATCATCAATATAAAAATAAAAGAGAAAAAAAAGAATATAAGTAAAATATTTTTACACTATCAATCAAATCAATCATAAACATGTATCAAACCAAATCACAATTTTAATTTAAAAAAACTGATATGACATGACCGATTATTATAATTTTTTGGATGATATAAAATAATTTTACATTACCAGTGTATTACCTTTAATTTCAAAATAAAAATAAAACAATTATAACAAAAAAAAATTAAATAATTATTAATATTAAATAAAGAAACATGAGACAAATAATTTTTCTTTTTTAATTTTTTTTAAAAGAAAATGTCTATCTTCACCCAAGCAAGTTTCAGTGGACTATGTTTTTTTTTATAAATAAAATACAATATAAATATTGAACTAATAAATAAATAAACTATAAAACATATATTTATCAATATTATATAAAATAAAACAAAACACAAATATCTTTTTGATAATAAATATATAAATACTAGGAATATATATTTACCATTAATAATAAAGTAACTCGTAATAAATATTTTTCATTGATAATTATAAACGTGAAAGATATTTTTTATTCACGTATAAAATTATTTTGTGTAAAATTTTATCACCTATTAATAAAAAAATACAAGTAAACTTATTTAGTTTCTGGGGATTATCAGACTGTAGATGATCAACAAAGGAATATGAAAGTCATTCCGGTTATATGTTGACTATATGGAAGAAAGGCTGAATTGTACCTGTTCTGGACTGGGCCGGGCTGGTCCAAAAACAAGGATGAAGGCCCAATCCAAACGGCCTTGCAGGGGGTCGCGCCGACCAAAAAGCTACAGCCGTGCCCGACTTTATCCGCGAGTGCGACATCCTCGACTTCATGCAGTCCAGCTCGACCTCAGCTCGAGCGCCCCTCGTAGGGCAGACTATGACCATTACGCCATCACCTGGATACCGAAAAGACCGCGTCCTCGTCCGTCCTTACTTCTCGCAGAACACCCAGGAAGGAGACCACGTGCGGGTCCCCACTACACACATAGAACTTGGCAGTTCCTTCATTGGGCCAAACTTGCCCGGCCCAATGAAGGGACCTTGGCCCAGCGTTGGGGGCTATAAATACCCTTTGTTCCCAGAGGGTCAGGTATTCATTCTCTTACCCATACTCATACTTTTTGCCTGCTCGTACTCTCACTCACTTTAGCATCGGAGTGCCTTGCAGGTACCCCCCCCCCCCCCCCATCTCGTTCAACTTCAGCTCGGAGCCAGTCGTGACGGTCCAAGTTTGATCCGGTAAGATCAGTGGTGCCGTCTGTGGGAAACTAGCTTCCCCGTCTTGCAACAACTCAAAGACCAAAGCTTAACTCAACTACCACCGTCATGGCTGACCAAGTTCGTGATGAGCAAAACATCCGCGCCGTCGACACCAACAACGACCTCGCGGATAAAAATGGACACCTGGATAACACCGGTAACCCCGATCACAATACCACCCCTGTGTCAACTGCCCCAGGGCCTTCAATCCACCGCGACGGAGCTACCGCGTCGTCCTCCTCGGTCCCTCCGCCACTCGAAGAGGACGATGCGACCCTCACGAACTATCAGGCTGCCCAGTTTCAGGAAGTCCCCGTCCCCGCCGGGGCGGATGCCACAATCCGAGCGCTGTTCGCAGCGATCAATCAGACAAATTACCTCATCTTCGCCCAAGGGGAAAGATTGAGGGCACTTGAAGACGATCGAAGACCCCCGAGGAGGCACCGGAGGCCCCAGACTCCACCTTCGCGAGTGACTGAAGTTCATCTCCCGTCTCCCCCGCGGAGACATTACAGAGATACCTCTCGAAGCCCGTCGCCCCGCCCATCGGGGAAACTGCCCCCTATTGAGAGGCAACCCATCATCGAAGCCGGAGGACGCGGCCGCGCCCCCGCAAGACAGGAGAGAAGACACCCTGGAGACGGGCATGGAAGGACCAACCAGCGGGCACCAGCTCGAGATATACCCAGCACGACCAGGACCGTCGTGCCCGACAGTATTACAGGTCCCCATCTCTGTCCCCAGAGCGGAGCTACGAGGACGACCCCCGTGGTCCCCTATCGCAAGCTATCATGGAGGCACCCATCCCTCCGGGCATGGAGAAGCCCCCACACTTGAAGGAATACGATGGAGTCACGGACCCGGTCGACCACATAGACGGGTTCGAGGCTATGCTGCACTATCACAATGTCGGGGGGCCCATCAAATGCCGGCTCTTCCCCACAACCCTCAGGAAGGCAGCAATGGACTAGTACAAAGGACTCGCCCCGGGGTCAATCACCTCGTGGCGGAACCTGAAGAACCAGTTCATCAGTTCATTCACGGCATCTCGCTGACACCCGAAGACCGAGGCGGCTCTCGAGGCCATCATCCAGAGACAGGATGAAACCTTGAGAGAGTTCATCAATCGCTTCAACTGCGAAGCCATACAGGTCCCTTGCACGGACCATATGAAGAGATATCTGCTGGAGAGGGGGCTCCTCCCCGACACGGAATTCAGAAAGGCCGTGGGCATCGAGCCATCCAGAACATTCGATTCCCTCCTCGAAAAGGCATGGGCATACATGGACTACGAGGAGAGAGAAGCGGCCAACAGAGCCCGAGACCCCAGGACTCGCGGGTCCAACAGCAACTCGCGCCAGGAAGCTCCTCCTCGACGAACCGGGGAGAAAAGAAAAGAAGACAGACCCCGGGAAGTCCGAGAGCAACGGGGACCCTCGGGGAGTTTTACCGAGTACACTCCACTCACAGCTTCCCGCGAGCGCATCTTGGCGGAGTATGCCAGTACGGACTTCAAGGACGGCGACGTCAAACGTCCCCGACCCGCTCCTGCCAAGCCTGAAGCGGACAAGAACAAATATTTTCAGTACCATAGGAGCCATGGTCATCTGACTGACGATTGTGTCCACTTCAAGGACGCCATCAAAACCCTCATCAAGGGAGGAAGGCTCGCACAATACCGGCGAAACGACGCTCCTCGCCGTGACGCCCGGGAGACAGGAGAGCCGGAGGAAGACGCCCAACCATCTGACGAGTCGGTCCCCATCCAGACCGCCTTCTCCGTGACCAGACCCGAGGACTTCGACATCCCCGAACACCTGCAGGAGCCGCTCACAACATACAACAGGTGGGAATATTTCCCCTCCGCCATGGTCATCAACGGCGGAGGATTCAATGACTTGACCATTAATTCAGCGAAGAGGAAGCTGGATGAGCTGGTCGACACGGCACCCCCGCAAACAGTGACATTTGAAAGGGTGAAGGGCAGGTCAGAACCCATCACCTTCTATCTAGAAGAGCTCCTCAGGGGAGCCCCCAACGCGGTCATCCACTTGCTGATAAGGGCAAGAATGGCCAACTTCGACGTGCATCGCATCCTCGTCGATGAAGGAAGTTCCGTCGACGTAATCTACAGCCAATTGTTCCGAACTCTACAGTTGGACGACTCACATCTCTCGCCATATGTAGGGTCGGACTTACAGGGTTTCAACGGCTCGACCTCCAAACCTTGGGGATATGTCGAGCTCCTGGTTACATTCGGCGAGGGAACAGCGACAAGACAGGTCAAAGTACGCTTCCTCGTCATCGACTGCCCGTCCCTCTGCAACTGCATCCTGGGAAGACCAACACTGGCAGAACTGACAGCGGTGCCCTCCACTGTCCACCTGAAGATGAAATTCTACACCAAAAGGGCACGGGTAGCTACTATCCAGGGAGACCTAGCCGCT